GGTTAACCTTATCTGATCGAACCAAAACTTTTTGTAGTTCATTTTTATACATATAGGCACAATATTAGGGGGTGAGACCAAACATTTTATGATATTTTTTTCCCATCATCTATAGCTAAGGAACACCCTACTCTATATGCTTGAAGTATTTAAAAACATGAGGATTCTGGATACCAAGAAAGTGGATGGAGAAACTGATAATTGATGTTACTAAGCGAATGAAATTTTTGAATGGTTGGACGATTACCATTAATTCATTATTAATGCTGTGGGATGACATAACCAAAACTCCAAATTTTGTGTTGYGCACTTATAGATTTAATCAAGATGTCATTRAAAATCTGTTTGGAACATTTCGAAATCAAAACGGCAATAATGTTAATCCCACACCAATACAGTTTCTTTGGGCTTTAAAAAAAATATTTTTTGTCAATTATTTCAAACACTCCRAAGGATCAAATTGCTTAGAAGACATGAGTGAAATGTTAACAACTATTGGGCAAATGTCACCACCGTTGAGCAATTCATGTGTGCTATTTCCAGAGAAATCTCCATTTAGTTTTTGTWATTCAAAAATAGGTACCACAGATTACCGTGAATTAAACTTTCCTACCCAAAATGCCCTTACTTATGTGTGTGGCTACTTAATATAAAAATGTATTGAAAAACATAGCTGTGATGTATGCCTAAATTATGCTAAGCACCAACAATAATTGGACCAATCATTTTTGTTTACATATTTTAAATCCTACRAAACTGCCAATCATTCTAATTATGGAAATTTAAATGTTCCTCCAGATAATTTTTTWAATTATATTAATGAAATAGACAAAAAATTTTATAATTAACTTTCCTATCTTAGCAGTAGAAGAAAATGTTGACAGAAAGCTAAAAAATTTAATTGACAATGTTCCATTTGAACATCCATGCAATAATTTTGACCTAGAATTTCTTAAAAAATCTATATATTCGCCTTAGGATATATTATTCAATAAATAAATTAAATAAAGATATGTCATTAACAGGAAGAAAACATAGAAAATTAGATATTCTTTACCACTTTTAGAATGTTATTATGTGTTATTAGTATTATTTTTTATTCTCATGTAATGTACTACTATTGTTTTTTTTTATTAATATATTTTGTTTATTGTGAATTATTTGGATATACTTTTTGTTATGTCTGTGTGACTTAATTTATATTCCCATCACATAATACAACTACAGATTGGAAGCATTGTTATATTTTGTGTAAGAAGACTAATTACAGGAATTGCTAACAGTTGTAGTTAAGTACACCAAAAAGCAAGGCTGGGCAAGTTAATATTTTTTTTAACTTAGTTAAATTAAGTTAAGATGCACCAATAACAAAAAATTAAAAGTTAATACACACTTTTWRTTAACTTTTTATGAAGTTAAAAAAAAGTTAATTTGTTTATACAACGCTAGCATTGTTATATTCTGTGATGCTATAGTGTACTAAATTTTTTTCAACACAAAACTAAATTATTGACTATAGTGTTTATACTTTATACAGTATTTCCATATAAGTTAGATTTGAATGATATCATGGTAAATATTTTTTGAAATGAAAACTAAAGACTGAAATAGTGAAATATAATAAAATTAATAACAAAATAAATTAACTTAACTTAACTATCATTAAATTTGAATGTATCAAAATATTCTGCTTTGTAATAAGAACATAGGCGCAAATAGGGGGGGGGGGGCTTTAGGGGCTAAGCCCCAAAAACATATCCTACATTTTGTTTTAAGATTATTCAATATTATAAAAGTAAGGCTTTAGTCTCCCTCCCCACAAGTTCCAAACACTATTTGCGCCTATGAATAAGAAATTAAAAATGTATGTTCATTAATAAGTGGACAACTTAAAAATGAATTAACAATAGAAATACTCAAAATAGTAAATACATTCATGGCTCAGAATCTAAAATATAATTTTGGATATAATGAGATCATCGATAAATGAATATCATGATTTTTTATTGTAAAAATGGGTTCYACTTTTTTTTCATTAAAAACTGGTCAAACTGTTCGGTTGAGCTGGCCCTACTGTATACCTTAGGTGTCATGGTCGACTGACTCAAGCCCACGGTTATCTACACGTAGATAACCGTGCTCAAGCCGTTTTCCTATGCTGCCTGTGTAAAATATTATCAGTGTCCATTCCGATTGTTATATTCTGYGATGATAACGAGGAGTCTAGAACATCATATTTTTTTAATATTTCATTTTCACTAATTGCACCATAGAACATTCGACGTTGTTATTTGTTTTATGTTTACACCGATATCATACGGTGTACGGATTGAGTGTTTGAATCGARACGAGCAGCTCTTGCTCATCAGTCTTGACCATGAATGTATGTACAAGTGGCAAGTGTGGGTAGGGTGGGGGTGGGTCGTAACTCGTAATGGGCACGAAGACTAGAGAATTTGAAAACGWCGTCTCTATAGAATATGGATCAAGGTACAAGATGTGAATGTSTGATGCCAAATATTACTGAGTAGCGTCGAAAACAATGGGTACCCAGTGTGAGGAACCTTTTGGTGGCCGTCCTTCAGCCCTCGCTGACCATATCGTTTCCACTTTTCCAGTCCGTGGTCGCGGGTTAGATGGAAAACTCCATTAAATATCGGCGATAAAAAATGTTAAATCTGATTCAATTTTTTTTTTAAAATCAAATGAGTAAATTTTTTTAAATTTAGTTTCAAGAAAAATGTTAATTTAATATTATTTTGGTCAGTTTATTTTTATGATTTTTAATATACTAACATTTTTTTTTACCTAATTAAAGTTGATTCAGTCCTAAGAAAACTTTTTAAATTTAAATAGAGTAAGTTTAAAAAAATATATATGAGAATTTTAAAATAGATACTTGTTAAAATTTATTTTTTTTTAAATAGTTGAGACTTTTCAAAGTTATGAGCTCCTTACCTAAAATGTTGCGCTCAAAATTTACACTACATCCATTTTTAATATTCATACCTTAGATATGAAAATTCAGGACAAGGTATAGAATTTAAAAAAAATGGTTAGATGTAAAGCAAGTTGCTTTAAGCAACATACACTTTTTTATGATACTTGGTTGATAATCGATTTCTGCTGTCAGCCCTCTTATAGGTACTATTTCTTCCGATCAAAAATAAGATAATTACTAGCTTATACCTATATATTTTATTTATCAGTGAGTATTCAACAAAATTTACATATTTATTTTGATAAGAAAATGCAGTCAATTTGTGTATGTATATGGTGTTTTAAACATATTATAAGGTAACTTATAAAACTTATATTTTATACAGGTATTTATAACAGCAAACCACAAAAAAGGCGTGTAAATGTTTTAGGTACCTTTTGTAAAAAATCAAAATCAAATGCTACAATTCTTATATAATATACAAAGAAGGCCCTGATTTATTTTAAGTACTGTAGTTGAGGAGCCGGGGGGGGGGTTTCCTAAGAGAATCACTGTACAATAATTATACATGATATAAAATTGTATGCACATGCACATAAGACATACTAGTATACTACCTTACCAATGGTATTTTAAATCCATAATTATAAATTTTTGATTTCTTGTAGACATACAGCACATTATAGTACATATAATAACCAATTTATAGTTATATAATTACTTTACATTTTCTGTCAAAATACCATCAGTCATCAACCACGATGTTATTTTTACGATTTAATATAATAATATTATCTTTTAACACTAGTACTTAGTAGTCCATTTTAACTGATTATTTATATTACAATTTTGTTCTAAGACCATTTGTAAAATATGCGATAATCATCAGTCATAACATCGTAAATTTCATTGTACAATTTTTTTTTTTTTGTTCCCACGTCTGAGTCTCACAACTCTAACATTCTTCAATTTATCATTTACACAATTTTCATCTATCAATAATCATYATCATATTGTGTGATATATTTTCATTGTCTGTTAATATTTGTCAGGTATGTCTTCTAAACAGATAATTATTTTAAATTAAAACATAACCAGTAATTAGATATCTAATGAGTCAAAATATAAACGTCTTAATACTTTTCAAATTAATAAAAACTGATTTTGAAAAGTTGTACTGTTTTTGTTTCCAAAGTAAACAAGTGTAAAATGTTTGAGTATAAATCATTATAAATATAAAAATCATAAAAACAATAGCGAAATGATTTGTGGCAATTAAAACTTCAAGCGTCATTGTTATTGAACATTGGTGAATCATGTTCCTTTAAATTGGGCAAATTAAATTTTTGTTATTTCCATAGGGTTGGAGTAAAATTGTATACATATATTATACTGTATTCAATGCTCATGGTTGACTAATGACTATGATAGATTTCACATTGCAAGCACATGTAACAGTTTTTTTTTAAATTTTTTAACAAACATAATAACTGTAATATTTTGTTTTCATTTAAGTATTATATAAATAACATAACACAAGAAACAAAATGTGATAATCCAATTTTAATAAATTAAATACTGTGTTAAACAATTATAATATATTGTATGCTAAAAATTTTAAATTTAATGAAGAAAAAATTAACAACATTATAGAATTGGATGTGGGCAGTAAAGAAAATATCTATTGATTTTGTTTTGTAAAAATAAATATACAAGCATTTTTTTTTTCATTTACTCTGATATTATAAAAATAATTTCAATATTCTAAATTTTCAACAATTTTTTTTATATAATATATTTACTTAACATACCTAGTAAAAAAAAATATATATATAATATTAATAATAATAATAATGATAGTGTGTTAAACGCGTATTCTTGAGGGTTCATAATCAATACTATTTATTTGAGTTTCCATCACAAAATTTAACACTAATACCCTACAAAACATTTTAGGATCTGAATTCAACAAATTTATGACACATCAATCATACAACAGTTCAAATTATAAACAAAAAAAAAAATAATAATAATAAATAGTATTTAAAAACTCACAATATAACACATAAATGAAAAAAAAAATTAAACAAAATTAATAATAATCATCATGAAAATAACTAACTTGAAAGATGAATTATTTTTTTATTGTCTGATCAAATTAATTGGCTAGGACGTTAATGATAATACTATAACGAAATAATAACGTGAAAAGAAAATATGTTTAACTGTGATCAATGTTTATCCCTGTAAAATAGATAAAAACATTTTTATAAAGTACTTATAAGATAAATAAATAGATGAATTTATAATGAAGCACTACCTAATCATATGATCTAGCATGTTAGATATCCTCTGTTCAGATAATGATGGTAATAATTTGTGTATCATTTCTCTGAGAAACTGATCACTTATGCCCGGGCTTGCACGTTCAGCCAACTCAAAAGAATTTTTCAACTCTTCAATAGCATCAATCTTATAGGACACATTGTTCTTGTACCGATATCTCTTTTGTAACTGAAAGTCAAATAAAATGAAATTATGTATACACAAAAGACAGAACTACAATAAGACATACAAAGAATTTTTAGGTTTGGYGAGGAAAATATTTTGTATGCATATTTTAATTTATTTTATACAACACCAGTACACCACTGTATTTTTCTCTCTATAATGCAATTTACATACTGCTACATACTATATTTGTAACATACCTCAGATATCAAAGGAAATATTAAAAGGGAAAGACATGGTGACCAGCAAGAGTTGTTCTGGTTCTGGCTAGACTTGGGGTGAACAGGCTGTTTTTTATTATCCATATGTTCTGATGTGCGAGTAACGTTGCGTTTCATTTCAATTTCTTGTGAATTTGAATTACGTTTATCTGAATTTTTGGACCCATGAATATGAGTGACAACCAACTATTTGTATAGGCAATCCAAAATTATGTGTTCAATTAATCATTTGTAGCAAAAGAGCAATAAAAAATTAAAAAATGTGAAATAATAAATTCATTTTAAAATATAAGAATTTGCTAAAATTAATTTAATTAAAAAAGTTAACAGTGTAAAACAATTATTAATTACATTTGATTCAACAACATTAGATTTGTGATTGGATGGCTTTTTAGATGATTGTAATGATCCATTTTGTTGAGTTTTCTTGGACAGCAGTTGAGATGGTGAAGCAGAACTTGATTCAGGAGTGGAATTTAATAAAGGCTTTAAAGAATTGGGTCCTCTTACAGTCATGATCCATGGTTCATCTAAATCACTGTCATTTTTACCAGAATCTTCACTAAAATCAAAATCAGTGAAATGTATTAATGCAATATAATTTATATAGCTGAAAATAAAACCATTTGCAGTATCAAAAATATTTTTTATAATTACACATCAGAACTTTCTGACTCTGTCTCGCTCTCTTCGTTACGTTGAGATTTCCATTTTTTGTAACGATCAATAAGATCCACCAAGTATGAACTTTTTTTAGCTTTTCTGATGAATGGAAATTTTAAAAGTTCTTTTGCAGTTGGTCTCTAAAACACATTTAATTATATTGTATAAAAATGTAATACTGAAATAAATATATAACAGTAATAAATGTGCTTACATTTTCAGGATCTTTATTTAAACATGCCTCYACAAATTCTTTAAATTGTTTAGTATAGTTTCCTGTCAATTGAGGAGGATTATTTTTTGGAATCAAAAATAATACCCTCATTGGATGTAGTTCGGAATTGGGCGGTTCACCTTTGGCCAGTTCTATAGCTGTTATTCCTAATGACCAAATGTCCGCCTATAAAATCAATATAATTTTTAATATTCCGAATCAAAACATAACACTTTTAAAAACTAATAAACCTTGGAATCATAAGCAGATTGTTTAATAACTTCAGGCGCCATCCAAAATGGTGTACCAACAAATGTATTCCGCTTACTAGTTGTATTTGTCAATTGACCGGCAACACCAAAATCAGCTAATTTTACATCACCAATTTCACTTAATAGAACATTTGCCGCTGTATAACAATATAAAAAATAATAAAAAAATGATATTTTTTAATGATTTCACCTATAATATTTTTTATATTTAATTAAGTACCTTTAATATCTCTGTGTAATTTTCGTTCACAATGTAAATAATCAAGACCCTTTAAAACTTCTCTAAGTATAATGGCAATATGCATTTCTTCAAAATTACCAGCTTTCATTAAATCAAGAGCTGAACCACCACCAAGATATTCCATGATAATCCATAACTTAGTGCCCTAAAGTGAAATAACAAATATTTTTAAGTTTTTATTATTTAACAATTTGTGGTATTTGGAGGAGATTAAATTACCTTTAAATAGGAACCAAAATATTTGGTGACAAATGGACTGTCACATTGAGATAAAACCATAATTTCTTGTTGGATGTCTTCAATTTCGTCTTCAGCCTCTTCCAGATCAATTATTTTAATKGCCACAATTTGTTGTGTTCGATTGTCTATCCCTTTAAAAACTTCACCAAATGAACCTTTACCAATACGTTCTTGCTTGGTAAATATGAGTTCCGGGTCGACTTTCTAAAAGTAAAACATTAAATAACATTTATAAAAACATTATGTTATAAGGTCAAAATAATGTATATACCTATAGTAATACAATTGGTGATTTTTACTTTTGATAACACCCCAAATAACAAAAAAAATTAAATTGAATTCAGAGATCAGCCATTGAAGTCGGTATTATATTTTTAATTTATCTAAGAAATGGTATTCTATATACTTTAAAATASATAGGACTRATAAAATTTTAATGTTTAAAAAAATAGAGATCGAATGAAATAATCAGTACTTAATCATTAAAAACTTAATAGTACCACTGAAAGTCATAATGATGTGTACTGTTATTACATTGTGAAGAAACCTTATTGAATACACTTAAACATTTTTATTATTTATTTTATTTTAACAATGATTATTTAGTTTTTAATGCTAAACTGTTAGTTATATTTTTAAGTAACCTACCTATAGAAAATAAATAAATATTTTTTTATGCAATTTTTAAATTTATATTTTAAACCATACAATATCAATGAAAATTAATAATTATTATGCTTGTCTAGAATCTATAAATAAATAACAACAGCGATGACTTATAATACATTTGATAGAAATGTCATTTGGTTTTGTAAATAATAAAACTTTATTTTTTAAGTAGGTATATTTAAATGTTTTGAATAATAAGAAACTAGGTTAAAATGCTGTAACCATTTTATATTAGATTAGGGGAAATATGTGTGTAATACATACACTAAGTACTAACACTAWAGTACAAGAATTAGGTAGCCAAGTAAATAAAATGATTGCTCAATTATTGAAAATTTGATTGAATAGTTTTTTATACTGTCAGTTATGACTTGTTTTGTCTTTTAAGCATAAGGATAAAAATGCCTAGGTATACAAAAGAAAAATCAATGAGTTTTGTAATATATATATTGTATTAATAAGAATGAACTAAAAAAACCTATAAAAGACCTTGGTAGGTATACTCCTATACCCTTAAGGCCTCACTAATCATTCAATGTGTACATATTTCATTACCAGTAAAAATTCAATAATAAATGCCTATTAATTTATGTAACAAACATTGATATAAACACCTACTCTTTAAAAAAAAAAAAAAAAAACAATATGATTACACTTACAAAACAAATAAAACTATAATTAGGGACTAATATTATTAGAAAAATTGTAAAATTATTTATCTATCTTAACTGGAGTTCAATGAGTTTTAAAT